AAAATGGAGTAGTCTTAAATTTCTGTGCATGTAATTTATATATGCCTTGGTTGAATAAAAACATCGAACTCTCTTTGTGGGTCAGTTTAATGTTTTATATTATTAGGATTCACTTGGATTATATACCAACGTATATATATATATATATATATATATATATATATATATATATATATATATGTGTGTGTGTGTGTGTGTGTGTGTGTGTGTGCGGGGTTGTGTGAGTTGTGTGTGTCTTTGCATGAGGTTTTTTAAAATAGTTTAAGCCCGAAAAAGAACCTATTAAAACAAAACCAATAATGAATGAGTACGCTCTTCAAACAAAACAGAACAAAAAAAATGCCGCAAGTTATGTGAGAGGTAAAATGCTAAAGGTATTTATCAGTACTGAAACCGGTATTGACCGCTGAAAAGATAAATTGTTCTTCTGCAGAAGAAAGACATTTATTCAATTGTAATATCCAGCTTACAGCGGCAATAAATGGTGAAACTGTACTTTCATTTTCTTTTCTTTTTTCTTTCACTTTCCACTAAGTTTCTTCACTTTACGGCCGCCAGAGTCCTCACACTAAAATCATGCTTCTGCTTTTATTCCCGAAGGTCTACTGTCTTTTTTCATTTAGAATAATTTTCATTTTAGAACTATTTTGAAAATGAAATGAATTCTATAAAATATTAACCTTTCCTTCATATAGAATAGAAACTTATTTTTCTAAGATATCCTCTGTAGAAATGGTATCTATCGCAGGAAAATAAATCTGTTGTCGGTATAAACATTATAGCTATTAGTGTACTGCTATCTATAAAGTTTTAATACATCTTAAATTATTAAAGACTGATTTTGAAATGAAATCTCTGACTAATATCTAATTCAGCTACTTCAGTGTTTGTTAGTAATCATGATCTGCCAGTGAAAATAATATTTCCACGATATCTGGTTTTTATATACATTGCAATTGCATTAATGTTATTTGAATTAGAGAACGTCATCTCTTACATTGCAATCGCTATAGTTTCTTTAGGAGATTATTTTGTTTGTTATTCATTAGTCCTGATTCTGAAATTGTTTATTAGTTTGTTTGTTTTTTTTTGCTGTTTTTTTTTTTATCCTAATCATTTGCTAAAATTTTGATGCTCGCTTTCTGCATTCTTGTATCAAAAGCCGTCCCAATACATATTCTCAATTCTTCGTGGATGTATTCAAATGAATTTCGGGTGTCCTTGTTTCTATCACAGATGTATCCTTTTAAAACACAAATTTCCATCAGGCGAATTATTACAGGCTTCAAGTAAAATTTTAGTATTATTTCGTGTTTCTCTTTCGTACAGTTTACTCTCGATCAAATGATGATTTGGATAGATGTAAATGTTGCGTCTCTTTCTTCTTTTTTTTTTTAATTTTCTACAAAATACTTTCATCCCTTTTGACATAACACCATCCGTTGTAGGATACCCAATACCCGTTTCTTGCCTGTCTATTCAAGGTTTAAGTAGTCTTTCAAGCTGGCTTGTTTCACATGTGTTGTCGGTATCGCATTTTCTGTTTTGTACACAAGGTCGTTTTTGTTCAGGTTTCATATATTTATTCCTCATAGGTTTGTTCTTACCAGTAACTATAAGGCATATTCTATCTTCATATTGCATCGAAGTAACCATGCCCTTGATTTTTCTGTTTGCAATAAGCTGTCTGCTGTTTTAATATGTTTTTCTTGTACTGCTGTTTTAATATGTTTTTCTTGTACTGGTTTTCTAAGCGTACCTTAGATATAACACAAGGCCGAAAATATGTGATATAAGGATCGAACTCACTCTTCAGTTTGTAAATATTTTAGCGAGAAAAGCTTGCTAACCATTACACCACGCCGAGAGTTCCCCTGTTTAAGGATTATCTATGTGGCACAAAGCCGAAAATGTGGAGCACTAAGTGTGAATCAAACTCACTACTTTGTCGTAATTGTTATGAGTTATTTTCCAAGCGTAGCTTAGATTAGGCACAAGGCCGAAAGTAGGGGGCAACCAGTGAGGATCGAACTCACTACACAGTCGTAATTGTTCTAGCGAGACATCTTGCTAACCATTACACTGCCTAGAGGTGCCCGAAATGTTTTTTCTTCTTTGCTGCCATTAAAGTGTGACTGTTTTTCTTGTATCTTCTGAACTTTTTCAAATAGCCTTCATGATATATTCAAAGAACTGGTTTACGCAAATTTCCGATACGTTATAGAACAATTATCTCAATTAGAAAATATCTTTGATATCGATGAATATATTTTTACCATTTTTTTTTCATATTTAATAAGTTTTAGTATTGTTCTTTTAAGATTGTTACACGTAAATTATGGATGAACGTGTAGCCCTAAATTTACTTGCGTAGAAGTGAAATCTCGAAACCAATTTAAAATTAAGAAAGTCCGCTAAGTTTCTTCCTTTTTATGATCCATATCCTTTCAGGACCGATCATGGCTCTCCACCTCCCTCTATCCCTTGCAGATGCCAGCAAGTCCCCTCCCTCTGCTTCATCCCACAGACCACTCTCTGTCATCCACTTGCTCAAGCTCGTCAGGTAAGTCACGTGCTGCTATCCCTTGTCTCTCTTTCCCTCTATTCGACATGTGAGTATCAGATTCTCTAGGCCCTCCTTTCTCATTATGTGTCCCAGAAACTTCAGCCTCCTCTTTCTGATGTTAAGTATAAGCCTTCTCTTTGCTTGTAACCTCTCTAAGACCTCATCGTTTCTCACAAAGATGAGGTCTTAGTTGTGTTGTTTGCTTCGCACTAATCCTATTTAGAAAGGCCTGAAGCCATTGATTCTTTCATAAGCTATGGATTCATTATCAAAGTAGATTGGACTCTCTAGAGATTAAAAATGTAATGCACACATCCCTTCCTTTTGGTACCTGCAAAAACTATGAACCGGCAAATGCTATTCTAATTTCAAAGTGAATATGTCCGGTTTTATATCAAGCCATTCTACGAATGATAATGGCACCGTGTAACCCAGTACTTGCCACAGGGTCGGATCATCGGAGTATAAACCTGTTCCCCGCCAGGTTTTCTCGTGAGACGGAATGCTAGACACCAAGCAGGATAAAATAAATCTTTCAATAGTCGAATTAAACGACTTGAAGTGTCAACGGGCATCTACAACAACAAATAGACAGCTATGAATTCAAGCAACACAGTGGAGATCCGGCATGGCTTGGCGTAGACCTTCCCCAAAATGAATCAACGGTCACCTATCGGTGACCAAGGCGAGCCTTCATGTTAGAAGACATAAGCTGTAGTTCGATCTTGTGAGCTTTATGACAAGACAAGACACGATACGCGCAACTATCCTGTTTTCAACATGGAGTATTGCTGTCATATTTGGTCTTGAGCCCCTTCTGTTTGTCTCAATGTCCTCGATAAAATCCAAAGGCGGATATGTAATGTAATTGGCCTGATCTGGCATCTCGTCTGCAGTCGCTCTCTCACAGACGAGCCGTTGCCTTCCTCTGTCTTTTTTACAAATACTTTCACGATAACTGCTGCTTTCGCTGGTTCCCAGACTTCATGAATTTAAGCGTTCAACTAGGTTGGCATCTCGCTCTCACACTTTCACTGTCGAAACTGTTAAAAGTAGCCATCTCTTCTACTCCAATAGCTTCATATCTCGCACTTCTCGACTGTGGAACTCCCTCCCCAGTTCTTGTTTTCCTGATAGCTATAATTTCCAACTATTCAAATGTAATGTCAATCGACGTCTCCAGATGCCCTGATCTATCCCTTAAACTTCTCTTCATTCTTTTCTCTGTTACTTCAATTTGCTCTCGCTCCAACTGTCTGTAACCGCTTGCGTGCTAGTGGCTTCCCGCCTTGCTTAGGGTGTACTTTGCTTAAAAAAAATAGCAATGGTTTCCACACTTTTCTCTCTGGACCGCATTTTCGGTATTAAGTTTTGCAGGCCACTCACCAAATTTTATGTGATAAAAATATAATTAAAAATAAAAAAAAACAATTGTAGGTTAAAATGGGATAACCACAGATTCGAAGTCAGAATATTATCATTGATAACTTTCTCCTCCAAATTGCTGACCTTAGTTACTATATTCTTGATATAATACAAAAAAATTTCACACTGATAAAATCGGTCATTAATTACTTATATCTACTTAGAGTGGTACTCCATGCAATTACAAGTAATCCATAATAATATTTTAAAATTTGAAATAATTTATTTTTGGCATGTGAATTTCTTGAAAATATTTCTAAATCTTTGATTGTCTTTCAATTATTCCACCTCACCTGCTATCCTCTTCATCTGCACTTATGAGGCGAACTGCACCGTTTGGGAAAACTGACTCGGATATATGGATGGAATTGATCAAACACCCAACTTGCCCAGTAACTCTTCGATTATACCGGCCTTGGGGTGAGGAAGACAATGGCGATTATGATGAGTTAGTTAAAGCTTCTTTGCTAGGGTCTGAAATTTTCCCCTAATTCTCAGTTCCTATTTTAATTTTGCAAGGATTTTTTTATTCATATTATGCACGCATCGGAGAGATTTATAAGTTACCACTGTTATTCCAATGGCAGCTCAAATCCATCTCAAAACTCTAAATGCTGTTTTCATTAATCATTCATGGGCATCATTGGCAACTTTATACTTTGAAATATCTGGGAGACGCTCTTGATATTTATATAACTTTTTATTTTGTGAGAAGTTTCATTTCTTCCTAACCGACAAAGATATTTTCCAGATTGTTTTCCACGATTTTTGTGTTGTTATAAGATTGTTTTTATTTCATTTCTAACAAATAATATGTCTTTGCTATTTAAACAGAGACAAATGCGTAGCAAGAAGCCTACAGTGGCTGTTCATTCAGTGTACAATTATCCATGCATATGTTGCAAACCAACTTCGATAAAGTATGAAGGAAAATGACCTCAAGCGGCAAAAATAATTCCAAATATATATTTTTTTCTACAAGTGTTAAATAGGGGAGCTGGCACGAATATTAATGGACTATGATTACTTGTCGTCTCATGCGGCTGTCACAGACGGTGAAGTAGCTAATATTTCGAGATTGGAACACAGAGGGAGAAAGATATGGTTTCACGTACAAATTACTATCGCGTTTCATTTGGAAATGTAAGTATTTGAAGCGGGGTGGGGTAGTAAGGATAAGAGGAGGGTGAATGTAAATGACCGACAGACGATGTAACTTGTAAAAGAAGTTGACAGGTGATATAGATAGACAGATATAAAATGATGGTGTTGAGGTCGAAAAGTATTTGGAAGGATCTGGCGGTAAATAAAGACGAAGCAGCTACATGAAGACAAAAAAGACAAGAAAAATTGAGTTACAGAAAGAAAAGAAGAAGAATTAATGAAATGACTTTCGTAATGAAAACGGTAAAGAGTGTAAGACGACTAAGAATATATATACGACAAAAGTAACACTCACACTCAGTCACACACACACATATATATATATATATATATATATATATATATATATATATATATATATATATATATATATATATATATAATTTAAAATATTCAGACACACTGGATGGTATATTGATATTTTTTTGTTGTTTTCATATTTCAATTAGGTTACTCCATATTTTCTGCCAGCAGGGTCTTCATCAAGTTAAAAAAAAATTCCCTGCTTGCTAATAGCAGTGAATTACAGGAATTAATACTCTATATATATATATATATATATATATCTATATATATATATATATATATATATATATATATATGAAGATGGACAGTAGACATGGGTCGAATAATTTCTAGCTTCTTTTCAGTCTTAAGAGAGAAGTACACTACAGAGATATATATATATATATATATATATATATATATATATATATATATATATATATATATATATATATATATATTTTTATGAGGGACACGAAGAAATAAAAGCAATTATAGGAGGAGGAAAAAAACTGCTACTTTCATTTTTTTTATATTTCGCGATAATATTGACGGTTCTTGCGTTCAAACGATAATAATATAATGTTTCATTTCTATTAAATCTTCATCTGAGGAAAAGATATGGAGAAAAAGAAGATAGACATTCTTGTAATTTTATTTTCTGCTGTTTAACATTCAAAAGTTAATCACGTTTCATGTGAATTCGACTTGTTAAATAAACGTTAGTAGAATTTGTTCCGTCCTGAATTCAAAGACAGAAGACGCGTCCATTCAAAATGATTTACATGTTTGTCTCTCTGTCTCTGTCTGTCTCTCTTTCTCACTCTCTCTCTATATATGTGTGTATGTGTGTGTGTGTTTGTGTGTGTGTGTCTGTTTGCCTGTGTGTGTATTTGGCGTTCTGTTCACGTTTTAGTTTGCATTTTATTAAATTGGCCGCTGTAATCTTTTTCGTATATCTAATGAAAGAGAAGCTAAAGTACACAAGTATAGAAGGTAATGGAGACGGGAATAATTAATTAATAATTAATTAATGTCAATTAATTTCATATCAGGAAATTTAGTAACAAATGCAAAACGAAGAAGAATGACATCGAGATAAATATTAGTAGAGTAAATGATAGACTGGAATAATAAAATTGGAAAGGTGATAAATTTGTATTTTTAAAATGTATATTTCAAGGGCTGACAAAAGCATATAGAAACAACACCACCAGCAAAACTGCATATGCATATACATACGTATATATATATATATATATATATATATATATATATATATATATATATATATATTATTGCGTTTCGGCAACAAACTGTCTTTTGTACAAGATTTTTCGGTCGGTATTTTCCGTGTAAGTCAAAGAATAAATCTCGTGTAAGCATGCAAAAAGAAAATATAAGAAAACGCTTAATAGTAGTGTCTTGTCAGTAATCTTCACTGAAACCAATATATATATATAAACCAATATATATATATATATATATATATATATATATATATATATATATATATATATATATAAACCAATAAATATATGTATAAAAAACCAATATATATATATATATATAAACCAATATATATATATATATATATATATATATATATATATATATAAACTAATATATATATATATATATATATATATATATATATATAAAACCAATAATATATATATATATATATATATATATATATATATATATATATATAATATATATATATATATATATATATATATATATATAAATATATATATATAATATATATATATATGGGGGGGGTGTGTGTGTTTGGGCGTGTGTGTGTGTGTGTGTCTATGTGTGTGCGTACTTGTATGAGTATATGTACGTGTCTATATATGTATGTGTCGGAAATAAGACATTGAACGAATAAGTCGTACATAAAGCGTTCCGTACCAAGAAAGCAATTCTTCAGACTAATAATTCTTTTATTTATGAAGTCAAATGTTTATCTATACATATTTACATATTCAATAAGACATTTTTTCTTCAAACTTTATTATCATAAATAATTCTTATTTGAAATAGATGCCCATTTTCAGTTAGTTCCCTAGTGGATGTTTCAGTTACGTCTCGGAGACCCATTGGAGAAATTTTGAAGAAAATCTTATGTGTGCGGAGTGCGCATTTCTTGTCAGTGTTATAGAGGTGCCTTCCTTGCTGAGACGTTCTACGCGGTCGAGCAGTACAAGAAACCGTATCAGTCCCTTGTGGTTTCTTTTCTAAGATTTCTCGAATACTCGGGCGGATAAATGTAATGCTAACTGCTTAATAATGAAAACTTGTAGTCTAGATCAAATACAAAATATCCACTATAATAATATTTTTAAAATACATATATACATACATATATTTGAGACTGTATCAGTATTAGCTTTGTAAAAATGATATATAAACCTAACTGCACATATAAATTAGAATATTATGAAGTTATTGCAATTTAAATAGATTTTCGTCATAAGAAATTAATTTACCTTTTAATTACAATGATATTATTTCACTATAATTTGTGATCAGATCTATTTTTCTCTTTGTGGTGATGAATAACACTTCATTGTCTTGTTTTGTTTTCCATATTTTTCATTCAATTAACGATTAATTGTCGAATACAGAGGTGTTTTTTTTTCTCGCGTAACTGATCCGGTTAAATAAATTTTGGAGGATAAGTATTTATTCCGAATAAAGTTGTTTTTTTTTATTACCATTACGCGCGGGAAATTATTAATCAGGTATAAATCTCTTTCTTTTTTATCTTGAAATATTTTTCCGACATTTTCTGTATTGTGTTTTAATTTGAATTTCCTAACGTGGACTTTTGCCTAATATATTTCTCTGTTGCCTTTAATTATTTTTGACTATATTCGACCCGGGTATATTTATTTATGTTTAATATTAATAAAGACATTATAGATATATTGTAGGGTGTAAGAATGTGTGCATGTGTGTATATGGGGGCGGACTGTTGCACGTACATATATATATATTTATGTGTGTGTATGTATATATTTATGCATATATATGTGTGCGTATGTATATATTTATATATATATATATATATATATATATATATATATATATATATATATATATATATGTGTGTGTCTGTGTGTGTGTGTGTGTGTTTGTGTTTGCATTTATATGTGTACGTATAAAAGTAGTGGTTAGTATGAATAGCCATGTAGAGTTATACATGTACAAAATATATGTGCGTATATATATATATATATATATATATATATATATATATATATATATATAATGGTCTATACATACATATTACTGAGTGTAAATGTATGTAGGTACACGTGTGGAAACAGACAGACAAACAGACACACACAAACATATATATGTGTGTGTGTGCATATATATGTGTATATATGTGTGTGTGAATATATATGTAGGGATATATTTATATGTCTGGATATATATATGCATTCATATATATATATATATAATTATGTGTATGTATGTACAATAAAAAAATACCTGATTCTGCTTAAATAGTGAAATATTTAAAACAAATAAAGCTACCAAACACGATACCTTCAAACATATATTATCCTGTGATACGCAGTGGCAATAAATTTGATCTACGATGCCCACTTCTCCTCAAAGATCCCAAGACATTTTTCCTCACACTATTTTTTTTATCTTTCAAACACAAGAAGTCAAAGATACACACATTTTCTCCGGAGAAACTGGCCTTCGACAAAAGAAAAAAAAATTTCCTCTTTTTCTCATTTTAATTAAACGATGAAGTTTTCAGATCAACAATCATCTAATTGCTATATCAGATCAACATTCATCTAATTTCTATATATCAGGTTCTAAGGATTCACTGGTGCATGTTTTTCTATTTTTTAAACATTTCACTACAAGCAAGGCGAGAGTGCCACTATCACGCTGGGGGTTACAGAGAGTTACAGAGTGTAGGTATAGAGGGGATTGGACAAAAGATGAACGGGGATTAAGACATCAGGATATGGCGATTGATGTTACATTTACTTTTTTGAAAATTGTATTTATGACGGGAGTAATTAAGAGGAAGAGAGTTGCACAGTCGGTAAGTGCGAGAAAAGTAATATTTGGCGTAGAAGTGTCGGTTACATTTAACTCTCATCAAAGAGTGGGACTCAGAGGCCAATCTAGTAGCACGCTTAAATTCATGTAGTCGGGTCATCAGGGGAAAAAATCTCGTCAGAGCAATTGCTATGGAAATTTTTGTCGAACAGAGGGAAGGAATTCACATTAAGTCTGTGAGAAAAATGACTGGAGTCAATAAGATTGTAATTCATTCTATGGATTTTGTCGAGAAGCTCGTAATGAACAACAGATGCACCAGATCAGATATGCTGACATTATTCAATGCACGGACGTAATGGTAAATTTGTAGAGTCGTAAGATGGATTCTGACGCGAAAAAACTTCTGGCACGACACAGTGAACCTACTTTACTTGCAGTAGAAGCAGTTTGGAATTGTTTGAGCATAAATGAAATTTGACATGAAAAGAGAGAGAAAGAACGACAGACTAACGACAAGAAGAAGAAAAAGAAGAAGAAGAAAAAGAAGTGGATGACTATGATGATGATGATGATGATGATTATGAATATGATGATGATTATGATGATGATTATAAATTTTATTTTATAGACAAAAATATTTAGGGTTTTTAAACCATGTAATCACTAAATTTAAGGAATACTAGGAGAAATAATAATAATAAAAATAATAATAATAATAATAATAATAATTATAATAATAATAATAATAATTATTATTATTATTATTATTGTTATTGTTATTATTATTGCCTTTATGTAAAACTAGATTTAGTAAAGCCACTAACATGCAAGGGGATACTGTGTTTGGAAAAAATTATAAACAAAAACTTTACTAAGGTACGAGAAAAAAACAGAAGTTTAATCAGGCGGACAATCGATAGCGTTTTACATTACATTTTGTCGATTAATGTTTGAATGGAGAGCATGGAACTGGAAGGGAGTGCCACAAGTGCTAAGTGTGCTAAAAGAATCATTTAGCATATAATTTACGGTTAAATCTAGCCAGCTCTACTGTACATTGATAAGATCTTGGCGCCAGTCTAGTATTGTGCTTAAATTCTTCAAGTCTATGTAGCATAGCGAAAATCTCATCCGAACAGTTACCATGAAACTATTTGGTCAGTTTTTGTTTTCTTTCATCGCCATTTTATTTAATAGTACGTTATGTTCTTTTTTTATTTATTTTGAACCTGCCCTTAACTCCATCGTTTGCATAGCTTAAGCTGTTAAGTTTGCTTGCACAGAATACAAATTCTGGTATGTCTTCTTTTCTTAGAATCATGATGCTGTGCAGCGTTATTTCTGGCGAGAAAAGGACACTTCTAATTTTCTGATATTTCTATGGTTCTGCACTCATTGGCGCATATATATTGTTTTTGTTTTTTTTTTTCTAAATGCAAGTTAAGAGATATTCTTTATTTATGCAATGTCAAGTTTTCTGGATATTTCATGACGTTTTTCAAGTCGATATTCATTGGATGTTTTCTGTCAACGAAAAGATAGTACAGACATTTCTGAGCATTTTTTCGACAGCAGGATATCAAATTTATAAGCATTGTTTAAAAGTTTCATTCTTACTCTATAGTTGGTTTATTTAAAAAAAAATACCTCATTTCATTAAAATTTTACGAACAAGTTAATCCGTGGCTCATCTAGCTGAATTTAGATGATGCTCTAAAAATAATTTGCAACTGATTACTAAAGAAGCGCTCTCTAGATTCTTCTATAGACACACACACATCTATCTATCTATCTATATATATATATATATATATATATATATATATATATATATATATATATATATATATATATATTATTTGCATTGATTTTACATGTAAAATAAAAAATTAATCCAAATAAATAAATGAATGATCAAATCAACAAATCGCTATCGCTAAAATATCCGTTCGAATACTCATGAATAAGCAAAGACAAGTAAAATAACCTATCCAAATAAACAAATAAAAAAAATAATAAAGAAATTAAAAACTGTCTCCCGCCAAATGAGCAAAATAGACTACGGGAATCAATCCAAAAAAATGGACCAATAAATAGCTTTATCTTCCCAGTCCAAAACAAACTATTAAATAAGTGCCCTAAACAAATTCCCCCATTTTGTTTCACTACATAAAAAAACATAGAAAACCGTAAACAATGAATAAATATATAGAATAAAAAAAACGAAAAAACAAGTAACTTAATTTAACCCGAATAAATAAATGAATATACAAGCTACTCCCGTCAAATTAACCGCTAGAATCAGTTACCCACAATACACCACTGATACATATATATAAAAAGTCGCGAAAAAATCCAACATTCGCGGCCTGACGATTTGGTTTAGAATGAAACAGCCTGCCGCCTCTGAGTGTTGACTTCTATGTTCACTTTTTATATCTATCAATATATATATATATATATATATATATATATATATATATATATATATATATATATGTGTGTGTGTGTGTGTGTGTGTGTGTGTGTATATATATATATATATATATATATATATATATATATATATATATATATATATATATATATATATATATATTGCTTTTCTGTATTTCATTTATGAATTTCATAAACAATATTTGTACCAGACATCATCTAATGCTCAGGACAATATCGATTACGCTATGTCATCCTTCAAACACTCCTGGGGAACATAGTGCCACAGGCTCAGTAGGCTGGTTGTTGGTGATTTGCTTTTCATAACAAGTGGGTATTTTTCAAGATGAATTTGCTAGTCGCACAGCAACAGGTTTTTTTTTTTATTCTAAATTGTCTTTCTTTGATAACCAAAAGTTCATCAGACTTGTCTGTTGTAGTTGCAAACCAAAACCACACCGCCCTACTGTTATATCCAAGCAAGTGTGCCATACACAAGTATTACAGTAAGGTCTAAAGTAAACAAAAAGGCCTGGGTAAAATGTCACTTAACATGCTAACGGCTACATCGCATATTCTTTTGTTATATGAATCGTTTTTCTTTTTATATTTTATATTTCCAGCTGAAAAATATCATATTTTCTCTCGCACTATTTACTAGATATTTTTCCATACTTTTTATACTTCTGTATTGGTGTTATCAACATCTGTACTTTTCCCATCTTGTTTGCATTTATTCATATTGCATTTGTTTAAACTCAGATGCGGTGCACATTTTCTTACCATTATCTGCTGTCTTTTATTTACGACATTTTCCCTTGGCATGCACTTCTCTCTGACTTGTGCTTTTCCTATCCTTCTGAATTTTAGCGAATGGATGCGACTGATTTTAGATAGAACTATACCACCAGAGGGACTCGCTTTCGGTGCAGATCCTAGGAAAGATGTTAACTCCAAAATATTATTATTTATAGAGCGAGTTGCAGTTTGTATCACATATCTATCGCCAAGTGTATGAATGGTTTTAACCTTTAAGAAATTAAAAGATTAGAGCTTATTTTTTCGTGCTCATATCTATTTTGAAATAATAAACGAAAATTTATAACTGCGTATTCAAAAATGATGTCACGTAAATTATTGGCATTCTCGCAGGAAGCTTATTGACATACAAATAATTCATAAAGTTTCTCAGTAAATCATAATTTAGCTATGATTTTGCAGAAAAAATCCGATAATTTCATAGATTATTTATAATTATTTTCTTTTTTATTAACATAATTGACTTTCAGGAAAGAGATTTTCGGATACTGGAAAAAATGAAAATATTATATTACAAGAAAATTTGTTTATAATATCGGAGGAAGAAACACACACACGTGTCTGTATAGTCAAATGTGTGTACGTAGGGCTGTTTATGAGAGAGAGAGAGAGAGAGAGAGAGAGTCTGACCTTGAATCAGTAGCTCTCAAGAGTGCTACGTAGGTTATCACTAATGAGTTCGATCTTCACTTAGCGTCCCTACTCTAATGGATATTTGCAGGTTATTAAGCTGAACACACACATACACACACACAAACAAAATATATATATATATATATATATATATATATATATATATATATATATATATATATATATATATATGAATGTGTGTGTTTTATGAAAGTTTTATAGATAGAGACTATAGTAAGATAGATATATGGAGAATACCATGTAATATAGATAGATATGTAGGTAAATAGATAGATAGGCAATACCATGAGATAGATAGATAGTCAGACAGACAGATAGATACAATGAGATAGATAGATAGATAGATAGATAGATACAATGAGATAGATGAATAGATAGATAGATAGATAGATAGATAGATATACAGACAGATAGATACAATTAGATAGATAGACAGACAGATAGATACACTGATATAAATATATATATATATATGTACAGATATGTGTATATGTATATATATATATATATATATATATATATATAGATAGATAGATAGATAGATAGATAGATAGATAGATAGATAGATAGATAGATAGAGAATTCATTTGCTTGTAGCACATAAAGATGAGTCTGACATGTCATTCTTATATGAAGAGTCAGATAAAAAATATAATCGCTGAATACAAACTATTATTTCGAAAAGAAAAGAAAGTATGACATTAATAACTTGATGACAAAGATGTTGGAATAGATATAATACTTTGTAATGAAATGTGAGAAAATTACGTGGAGAAATAAAAGAAAAAAAATAATCTAAAGTAAATGAAAAAATCAGTTACGGAAGTAATATACAGAGGCCAACTGATGCAAAAAAAAGACAAGAATCGAAAGAAAGTATAAATGAAAGAAGGATTGAAAATATAATAGATAATGAAAAAAAAAGAAGGTAACTAAAAAAAGAGGCCAGAGGAAGATAACCTTAGAAAAGGCAGGAGAACTGTACATAAAAGGAAAAAACGATGTTTTAAAGAAAGCAAATTAGAACGAATAAAAAAAGAAATAAAAAAGAAGGAACGAAATATAGAAAAAAATGAACAAAAACAGATAAAAAATGACAGAAAGTAGATAAAAAGGAACAAAGAAAAAAATATAAAAATGAGTGAAAAAAAGGAAAGTATCGACGAATTACAATAATAATAAAACAAATAAAGACACTAAAATTAAAGAAACAATGAAATTAAACAAAAAAAGTAAAACATTGAGTAGAAGGAAAAGACTTAAAGATACAAAGCGAGAAATATACCAAAAACGAAAAAAAAAAATTCAGAAAGCAATTGAGAAATAAAGAAAGGTAATATATAGAAGCATTATTACGTGATATTAAAAAGGAAATAAAGAAAATATAAATGAGAAAAAAGTGGGAAAGTAAGGACAGAACGAAGACAGTAAAATGGGGTATAAAAAAGAGAAATGATAAATAAAGAAACAATAAAGGAAGAATAAAGTAAGAATAAATAATGAATAAAGAATAAAGGAATAATAAAAGAACGATAAAGAAAGAATAAAAAAAGGACAAAGGAAGAATAAAATAAAATAAATGGAAGAATAAAGGGAGAATAAAGAAAGAATAAAAATAGAATACAGTATTTACATTAGTCGGACTATTGTCCTCATCTTTGTCGCCATATTTGTCACAACGTTTCGGCCGTTGTACGCTCCGGCCTTCTTCAGGTGGTTGGAATTTCGAACTGAACCCTTTATTTCGATCGTGGGAGGCTGTTCTACTAATTCCACGTGCCATGTTTTGATGGATGTCGGTTATCGGTTATCTCCTGCTAATTTTTCCTCCGAAAGTTCTCCACTGCCTTAACAGAATTGAACTCACCTTCTTTGGGTCTGTCACTGGATCAACAACGCCTTTATCCACTGTCCATGTGTGTCGAAATTTCAACCACCTGAAGAAGGCCGGAGCGTACAACGGCCGAAACGTTAAACAAATATGGCGACAAAAGATGAGGACAATAGTCCGACTAATGTAAATACTGTACATAATACCTCATCTCAGAAATATAGACAAACCCCAAAAATAGAATAATATGAATAAATGAATAATAAAAGAAGAATAAATAAAGAATAAAGGAAGAATAAAAAAGGACAAAGGAAGAATAAAATAAAATAAAAGCAAGAATAAAGGGAGAATAAAGAAAAATAAAGCAAGTATTTTTTTTTTATGCATTTCACCCCAAGCAAGGCGGGAAGCCACTAGGACTCAAGGGGTTACAGAAAATAGGAAGATCAGATAGGGTGATAGAAGAAAGGATGAGGGTAGTAGATAGATTAAAGGCAGCTGGAGATGTCGATTGACATTACATGAATAAAGCTGGAGATTATAACTCACAGGGAAACAAGAGAAGGAAGAGGTTCCATAGGCGAGAGGTGCAGAGACAGCAGAAGCAATTAGAGTAGAAGAGACGGCTACATTTAGGAGTTTCGACAGTGAAGGGGTTGAGAGCAGGATGCCAGCCTCGTGGGCACTTGAACTCATGAAGTCTGGGAACCAGCAGATGCAGCTCCTCAGGCAATTTCCATGAAAGTATTTGTAGAACAGATAGAGGGAAGCGACGGTGCGTCTGTGAGAAAGTGACTGTAGACGAGACGCCAGGGCAGGGCCAATGGAAGAAAGAATATGAAAGAGAAATTTAAAAATATATATATAAGAAAAACAATAAATCAAAAGAGTTATAAAAAAAACAAAACTAATTTAGCATTACAAATGGAAACGAATGGCGAAAAGATCAGAAAATGAAGACGAGTCAAAAGAAGGGAAAAAGAAAACATCTCAGGAAAGACACAAAAATTTAACAGACGAACAATAATATAATCGGGATAAAATATTAAATGCAGAAATAATAATAAAGATGAAAATGAAATATAAAATAATAACACATTATATATAATATTGTGATACAACTTAGAACAAAATGAATAATAATAATAATAATAATAATAATAATAATAATAATAATAATAATAATGACGATCAAAATAATTCTAGTAACACCATTTCAACAGTAAGAATCATGAGATGACGCCGGCGCTGTAGTTACACAATTTCAGACCAGCATCATCGACTTCGTAACAGAGAGGCTCTACCCAATAACAGGTGCTCACATAGAGAGATTTATATAAATCATAACGTGAGCGTAGAGATGTTTGTCATGGCTATTAAGTAGGCGTCTGCAAATAGACATGAGGTAATTTGAAACGCAAACATTCCTTCTTCACGCAAGAATAACAGTCAGGGAAAGAGATTGAATGGAAGAAATATCTGCCCAACAAGTTAAATTCAACATGGACGTGTACCTCTTCTTCTTCTTCTTCTTCTTCTTCTTCTTATTATTATTATTATTATTATTAATCTATTATTATTATTATTATTATTATTATTTATTTCTTAATTTAATGTCTCTACATAAGGGTTATCATGGCTCTCCACAACTTCCAAGCATTCAAGGCCCTTAGCAGTGTTATCTTCTTTTCAAAGACCACCCCCACACACGTCAATTCCGCCATCACCCACACAAACTCGTCAGGTAAATGGCTCGCCGCATTACCCCATCGCTGTTGCTCTGGATAAGTCCTATGAAAGTTAAATTCAGCAAAGCCTGTTTCCTCATTATGTGTTCATGAAATTTCAGCTGTATCTTTGATTCAGAGTACTAATGTTCTTTTTCTTTTACTATTTTCTTTAAATCTTCATAGTTCCTTACTCGTCCCGTCCATGAAAATCACAACACCTTTCTATAGAATCACATTTTTGTTGTCTCCAGTTTCCGCTTCATGTGTGCTGAGATTGACAAGCCTTCATCGTCATATAAGAGGATTGATATCCCATAGCAATTCACTATCCTCCTTCCTGTTTTTTAACAGAATCTTCCTCTTTCCTCGTACATTGTTCAGCATTTGGAATGAAGCTTTCGCTAAATCGAGGTGAAACATTGAAAGCGAAATTACAAACAGTTCGGTAAAAAAAATAACGCCGGCGTAGCGAGGTAACGTCATTGATTGATTTAGTTTTTAAGTTCGTTGTGAATATGCTGAAAGAGGACATTCGTATAGAGGTACAGTGTGGATGTAAAAATCAACACTATATAGTGACTCATTATATTTAAAATAAAACATATTTATTGTATTTTTTAAACATATTTATATATTTTCGTCTACAGTTCAGAATATTCAAGAATTTAAAAAAAAATCATGCGCCTCCCATAGGCAGGATTCGAACCTGCGTTACATTTAGCAGAAGAAACCGTCGTTACATCCGACGTGGTTTAGAATTTTTCTCCTGCTAACTCTCGGATTTGCAGTCACGGCCGTTCCCTTATTACTATTCAAAAATTTGAAAGAAGTATGGTCATGTCGGGAGATTTTACGAATCCACGCCAATTCTGGAAACCCATTATGTGATTATATTGGTAGCATTGATGAATAAAATTAAGGATTTACTTTTACTTTTGTAAAATTGGGTTGATTACGTACACAAGAAAAATATTCGTGAAATCTGCGACACATCAAGGGAATGGAAAACCTGCATTATTTTAGACAAAATGTGCAGTGATTTCACAAAATTAGAGAAAAAACAAGGATTATATCTACGGAATACGTTAAATAATGATAGAAAATCAGTTCTTTCAATAAATTTAAACAATTGTAATGAAACATTGTTATCAATCGCCGGTTAAGCAATGGAAGAAAATACTTTCTTTCAATAGCAAGATAAGGTAAGGTAATAAATCATTGCCTTTAATTGCTTTAAATATAAGTTTAAACAATGGTAAATAATCATTGCTTTCAGTAGCAGTTTAGCAAAGATAGAACATCTCTTTCAATAGCAGGATCAGCAATGTTAGAAAATATTATTTCAATACTAATTTACGGACTGTAATTAAGTCGATGTGTTCACTAACAGGTTAAGTAATGTTACTAAATCGTCGCTCTCACTATCTTTTTGTTCATTAATACATTGTCATCAATCAAATTCTGTATAAATATAAAATTCATTGACCTTCATATATTGTCAAAATTCACGAGAATACATTTTTTTTTACTAAATACTGGGTTATTCACATTCAGCAGCAGTATGTTTATTGAACATATCGATACATAGGCGATATCTCGGACTAGATTTCCTTATAAATCATAGGCAATTGAATTGTATAGCATTCCTCAGGTCATAAATAGTTACGGGACCTGTAAAAATACGGCAAGACATAGACAAAATAACTCGCCAGCCGTTTTAAGAATATTATATTTCTGGCGAGATATCATTTTAGCCCGTGACAAGCTGCTAAAAAGAAAGGCCACGTATATACAAAATTCATACCCTTTCACAAATCCACAGAGGAATCTATGCTATTTTTTTTTTTTTTTTTTTTTTTTGGCAAATACGTATTTCTCATGTGCTCTTTCTGCAGGAAGGGAATATGACAGAATGCGAAACTATTAATCGGTACGTGAAAATACACTTACGTATAGAGGGACTAATGTTGTGCGGATTTAAAAAAAATGAGATGCTGTCAGTTCACTAGCGAACTCAAATGTCATTCTGATCACCAACGTTTAATACTACGCAGATTACGACGGCAAATATGTGTAAGGCACGGGGTCGGTTCTCTTTTTTTTTTAACATAGTACAATTAGATGTTACATAATATAAAACGAGCATGTTGAAAATAATTCTCACGACACGTGTCGTAGGGTAATGGCTAACCTGCGCTTTTGGGAAACCAGTTCATTTTATATAGAGTATTCTCAATTTTCTTACCTTGCAACCCCTTTTCTGACATATGCGTCAGACGGTGAATCTTCTTGTAAAATTGTACTGATAAATCAAACAGACTTATTATCGCAACTTAAATGTCACGCTCTGAGGACTAGGACTAGAAAAGAAAAGTGCCGGGTCACTAAATTTGCCGGATTTTGGATTACAAATTTTTACTCCATACAAATAAACGATTACTTCTACATGTGAATATATATCTCAACATGTTCATTTACTTTGTTATGTGGGTACTATCATAGCTTCATGCAAAAGTAGTGGCCTCTTTTATTTTTCCACTGTTTCGAATACAACTTTGTACTTCTACAGGGTCCCCAGTAAAAATGCGTTAAATTTATTCTTGGAGAAAATAGAATAGCTCTGGTTGGTTCATCTCAGTGGACCTTAAAAAGTCCAGATGTGAATGTTATAGATTAGTGTATCTGGAGTATACTCCGAAATCATGAGCAAAACCGTATTCGGGACATCGTCGATATTGATTCATTGGAAGGGAAGTTACCTGAAGCTTGGAATGAAATTTCTCTTGACACTATCCGCAAAGCTACTGCCACCTCGTTACCACGATTACAACTTTTTTTAAAGATTCAGGCAAATATTTCGAACATCTGCTATAGTTGTTCAGCTTGCGAGTGAATCGTGACAGCTAAATATATTTATTTTAATTTTATCGCTTTTTTATTGGGTACCCTATAGATTATCTGCTACTCAGAGTTAGACAGCCCAGTATTGATATTTAATAGCTAACCGATGTAGAGGACGAATGGATTCATGCTTTTTGCCAGGGACATTAATGTAGGAAATCAGAATTTGAATTCATATCGACGATTCAATTTTATTTACTGAAAACCGTTATATTAACGGCCCGCCTGATAAAAGAGTTCAATACTATTACTTGTCAAATTAGAGTATCGTTTTTCTCGCGCCCTCGAAGAAGAAACGACACCTTTGATTATTTACTTTGCCCCCAAAGGCGTGCTACACTATGACAGGGCAATCGATAAATCTAGGGCATAGTAGTACAGTCGTTTTCTTTCAAATTATTCTTAGACAACACCTATAGGTATCTACAATAACACAAGTACAATCAGCTCAAATCTTTACAATCAAACTCAGCCCTGCCAGTTACGTAGATTTATTCACCTTCCTTACGTATTGTGTTGATAAGCATGCTGTTCTGCTCGGAATTATTTTCCCACGGACAAGCTACTTTGTGGAACAGACTCCAACGAGGATACACCCGGAAACACTAGAATCTTCACTTTTAGAAGTCTAGGATCAATCGTTACCTATACAACATGTCCTCATAATTTTTACTTTATACTTCCTATTCTTACATTCATAATAACATACGTCATTCAGTAAGCGTCTAACTTGAGTGGCTCTTATGCAGTGAATTGCTTAAATTCAATTTAAAAAGAAAGCATTAACAGAATAGCTATAATTGTATTAGGTTAAATATAGGATATTTCCTACCAAATGACAATATTTAAAATGTGAAAAATCTGAATAACTACATGCGTCACTTAAATTAAATTAAATAAGATTCGTGTTGAACAATACAAGATTTATTTATCAAAATTCAAACAAGATATTCAAAGGGTTGCAGATTTTATAACCGATTTCACAAAGCTTCACAAATTTTCAAAATGGACAACAACTGTGACACGACATACGTCAAGTTGGTAATCCAGCTCTTGTCAAACACGCGTTAGTATGTTTAACGTGATATTTTCCAGTGCCTCAATGATTCTATGCTAAAGTTCTACGCTCGTAGGAAAAGAGCCGTCTTTTCACATAGCCCCATAGCAAAAAAAATAAAAAATAAATAAATCATAAAGTGTTTAGACAGGGGAATGTGGTGGCTATTTCAACAGCACACTGTCTTCATCATTGGCAGACCCGATTCATTTTCCTGTGTGATTCTCATTAACATAAACGCTCACATGTAGCGGACCTAAAAAAACATTTGTCTGAAAAAGCATTTTTTACATCCACTCATTTTCCTCGCCGCTTGCATTTATCTCATGTAGATGCGAATTTCAGCTTACAACTACGTCCGTAAGGTTCGTCATCGATATCCACCGTAAACATAGCACAGAAATTTTCAATTCAGAATACTGAAATCCGCCAGCTACTGAACTTCATGTCGGCAGATGGAAGGAAAGCAATCACTTATCCATTGTACCACTCCTTCAAGGACAGCGGTCAAAATGGAACTAATTGATTCAGGGCATCGCTATGGTCAAGAACTGGGAACACCTCATATTAGCGACACCAGTTAAGTATTGTTTCACTTCCTATTATCTCGCAAATTTAATTAAGGAAAAGACATTTTTAATTCTTCACCATGTGCACAAATGGGAATATCACTTTTACCTATATACTTTAACACTAATACCGTAGAGAACGTAA